GAGGGCAGTAGCACTGAGCTCTTGAGGTTGACGACGAAGAACGTGTCTAAACTACCTCAGACTTCTTTCCTGAATGGTCTTGGATATCCTTGTGATTTTGTTGCGGCGGGTGCGGAGTGTCTCATTTGAGACGAAGTCGGTGTACTTCACTTGAAGAATACTCTTCAGACAGTAGTCTTAAAAAACTTCCAGCCTCCGTTCATCTTCCACGCGCATAGCCCAGCATTCGCGTCCGTATAGGAGAACGGACCGCACAGATGCACGGTAGGCGCGGATCTTTGTGGAAATGGAGATATCGTGTCGGGTCCATAGGCACTTCCAAAATTCGTCATGCTGCGTCGATTCTAGATACAATGTCGTTTTTACTCTGTCCAGTTGGCAGCAACCTCGCTCCGAGGTATCTAAAACTATCGACTTCTTGAAGTTAACAGCCAGTAATCTCGAGCGGTGCTAGAGGCGCTAGAGGAGAGCTAAAGCGTTAGAAGAGACAACCTCGAACAAAAAAATGCATGCGGCTGTTGGAGACCCGCTTGTACTCGAGACTTCCAAGTCACCTATATGTAATACGATGCCGTTCCTGATGACTGTGACTCAGGCATCCTTGTGCCTGTCCACAAAAAGAGAGATAAGACACAAAGTTAGAACTATCGCGGCATAAGCCTCATCGACATTGCTGCGAAGATTCTCGCCATTGTTATCCTCAAGCGGTTCCAGTCTGTGCGCGACTCCTGGACGCGACCCAACTAGGCCAGATTTCGCGCTGGGCGTAGGTGTGTGGATCAGATATTCGCACTGACACGGATCCCTGAATTCCGCCATAGCTACCAACAACCAACGGCCATCTGCTTTGTTGGCATTGCCACTGCGTTCGACTCCGTCCATCGTGCATGCCTATGGCGAATAATGGCATTTGATGGTGTACCACTAAAACTAATCGCCGTGATGAAGGCGTACTACCGCTCCACCACTGCGCGAGTTCTAGTCCACAACAACCTTTGAGAACCCTTCGCAATTCGGTCTGAAGTTCAACAAGGTTGTGTCCTGTCGCCCGTTTTACTTAACTACGCCATTGACTGGGTTCTCGGGAAGACCCTACAGGAAAATGACGGTATTGAGGTTGCACCCGGGCGCCGGTTGACTGACCTCGACTATGCCGATGATTTCGCTTTACTAGCTTCAAACTTTGGCGATCTACAGTTTATGGGGTCACGGGTGAACGAGGTCGCGAAATCGGTTGGCTTGCCCATAAACGCTGGGAAGACCAACGTGTTTTCATGCTGCATCCATGAATAGACTTTTCCTGCTTCCTACTGGTTTCGTTGGCTCGGCTGACCTTCGGCGTCTTTTTGCGCTGGATTCATTAAAACAAACAGCTAGGGCACGGTGTGCCCTACCCATCGGTTGACCCTATCTAGCTAACATGCGCATTAGTAAAGGTGGACGGATAAACTGACAAAGGATCGTAATTTATGGCAATTAAGGTGAATCAT